TGACTGCTGGCGTTTCCCTGCCTTGGATACTCCCTCCCCTGCTCTGCTCTGCGGCAGCTCCTCTGGGCACTCACTCTTGCGATGGCCCGGCCTATTGCAAGCAAAGCAGTGCCCCTTAAACGGTGCGGCAACTGCATTTGTCGCAATGGCGTGTACGGTGGCGTACTCGATCGGTCCCCGAGGGCGATGTCTGTAGTAGGACCCCGGTCTCGGACGGCGCAAAATGTCAATCTTCTCGACGAGCGCGAGAATCTCGTTGAAGTTCGAGAGTTCGCGCAGCATGATTTCGTGCGAGATGTCCGGCTTCAGCCCTCCGACGTAACGGTCCACCCGCTCCTCTTCGTGCATATAGCCGACTTGCTCGCATAATGCGAGAAAACCGCTCGTGAAGTCTTGAACCGATCCGAGCTGCCGCCAAGTGCGCAGTCTCTGACGCGCCGAAATGAAAGCCGCGATCGGCTCGAAGCGCGCCCGAAGCCCTGCGCACCACGCATCCCACGTGCTGTACTGGGCGGTTTCGCAGAATGAACTCCAGTTGAGGGCTGGACCCGTGGGCCCTTCCTCTTGTGACGGCGGCTCGTAGGCGCGTGGCGACGTCACTATGACTCGCCACCAGTCCATGGCGGGGCCCCTCAGCAGCGAGACGGCATATCTGATCTTCGCTGCATACGACTCTACGTAATTCGCGTCGAAGAAGACGTTCATCGTGAAGACCCACGATTGAACCGTCGGACCTCCACGTTGGCTCGGGTCGAAGCAGGGCGGGCGCTGCGGCTTGAGTGGCATCGGTGCCATGATGGCGTGGTCGCCACATGTCGCCGCAAATTCCACGTGCCGACGGGCTTCGCGAGGCTCCCGCGGGCTCGGCGCGACCCTGTTCCGTTCCATGCCAAGCATTGATTGAGCGGCGCCATCACTGGCTGCGCCTGAGCGCTGTGATACGCTGTCGTTTTGTGTTCGTGTGCTTGATGAGATGACGATCGGCTCCTCCGATTGTGCAGGTGCGTGGGGTGGCGCTGGAGTATTCACCGTGGATTGCTGACGCGCGGAGTCACGTTCCGCCGTGAGCGTCGCAATTTCGAGCGCCTTCTTAGACTTGGCGCACGAGACGGTCGAGTTGCTCGTGCGTCAGTGTCGCGAGAGTGAATTCGGCCAGGGTGGGGGTGTCGGGCAAGCTCAGCGAGAGCCTCTGTCGTGGCCGTGCGTGCTTACGAGAGAGCACTACGAGCGGCGGTGCTTTGTCGCTGAGAGACGTCTACCCCCCCCCCAAAAAATGAGATAGTGGGGAAGCGAATGTGTGGGTGCGATTCGAAAAGAGATCGTAGGCTCTGAACACCAAATGTTACGAGTGCAATTGAATGAGCGAGCGAGAATTGCACTATCGAAGCAAGAGTACAATGAGTGAAGGCATGAGCGAAGAATATATAGCGAAACTACAGTGGTAATGGTCATGCGTGGAAATTGGGGTGCATGGCGGGCCTAACGTCGAGGTTGGGAAATGTTGAGGCGGTAGGTCCGGGGCGCTGGTTACCAACCGAACCGTGAGGTTGGGTCGCGTCGTGAACAGTGGCGGGAATAGTGCCGAGGTGTGTGTCGCGAGTGGTAACGGATTTCTGTTGGGTGCTGTTGGCGGGAACAGTGGTGTACGCGCTGAGCAGGGGCGCGAAGTAAGGAAAAGGAATTTTCCTTAGAGTAATCTTGGAGTGACCATCAAGATATGGTCTTTTTGCCACACTCCAGTACACATTATGGATTTTTTTCTCCATTGAGGGGTGCTTCGCGCGACATGTCCGCAGAAGTTGATAGGTAGAGCCCAATGAGGAGAACGTTTTCAAACAACCCTTGTTCTGCGCCACTGCCTGGATGCGAACGCGGGAAAAGTGAATGACATCATGCTTGCTCGAGAAGCGGCGCGTGAACGCGGCTCGCAAAAACTTCTAATTCCGTGAACCAGAGAGCAGGCATGGCGCGCATGTCATCCCAGCTTGGAGTGGTTGGCGGAATCGACGTGAGAAAACGCACGCAACAAACGGCCACGCGCAATATCAACGGCATGCGATGACAGCCGAGAATCGCCCTGGGCAGTCAGTGATGCCTTTTGGGTCTTGGTGGGGGACTCGCGTGTTCAGCTCCACATTACCCCCATCCTCTGCATCCCATTACTGTAACTTCTCCCCTCATCCTTACCAGGCCCACAAAACACCTCTCACACCACCATTTCTCACCAGCACAATCTATAATTTGCAAGCAATTCTTACTGCTAGAGATTCGTAGTAGTAAGACAACCGATTTCTTCTTCGCACGCCTTAAATTCTTGCTAGAGATTCCTTTCAAAGTTCAACATGACGGTAGTTAACAGAGTGGTGAAGCCCCCTGGTGGCGACTCCACCGCCGATGTGCTCAACTGGAGCGAGGGCGCTGACGCTGGCGTTCCCGATGTGCTTGGTAGCGGAAAGAAGTGCATCAAGCGCCTTAGCCAGGTAGGTTTCTCGTCGAATAGGCTGTCACGCTGCGCCGTCTGTCCAAGCTTGGTTCGTGAAGAGAGCACTGAGTGTCCGGATCGTGACTATCGTAGAAGACGATACCATCCGATTTCAAATCTCGTCTGGCATTTCTTGGCTGTGGGAAATCTCTCACTAAGGTCGTTTTGTTTTCTTCCTCGGTTTCCTTGTGCTCCTGCGTGCAGAAGAACTTCGAGAGCCAAGTGGTCCTCGCCCACGTGGAGGCTGACACCAAGCAATCAGAGTACGATACTATTCCTTCTGTCGTTCGTTCACCCGCTCAACCCCGTTCAGCTTCATTCCATCCGTATCCATCTTCTTGCTGTTCTCTCCGTCCCCAATCGCCTTACTGTGTCGTGGGATTATGCGCCTTATAATGTTCATGTGTTCTTATCCGCTATTTCGCCGTGCAGGACTCCCGAGGTTGCACCTGCTTCCGACAACATCTTCACGCCGTCCGATCAGACCGACCGTCCCAGCGTGCGCCTCCACCAGGTCCGCACGCGGCATACCGTGTTGTACATTTATTGCAATCCAGCAACATGTTATGAAGATAATTATGCCAAGAGTTCAACAAAGAGATCCCCTTCATGCCCGCTCTACGTGCAAATTATATTCTCCGGTTTGAGACAGTGCTCTCGGTTCGGCTCTTCATTTCTTAATGCATGTTTTCCCTTCCCTTTTTTCTCCATCACGTCACCCCCGACGTCTCCTGCTCCCGTTCAGCCTGCAGGCGGCAAGAGCCAGATTCTGTTCGGCGACGAGGACTACCTGCCGACAAAGGCGCTGTGTCCGCAGAAGCTGACGGACCTCATGGGCACGCTCAGCTGCGAGCCGGACAGCGAGGAGAAGCGCCGCCCGCTGTGCCAGGCGAAGCTCAAGGACCTGTACGGCTCGCTGTCGTTGTACGGAGAGGAAGTTGTGGAGGAGGTCCGCCCGTCCATCACCGTGCACCAGGTAAGCGTTTCTAAGCTTCAAGACTCATTCCCGAGCTTCTATTCTTCTGCTTTTAGCTGCTTCAACACGGAGTCCTGTCCAAGATCTTGTCCAGGGTCGTTCGTTCGCCATGCGCAGCGCATTAATTCTCTGTTTGGTTTTGTGTCCGCAGCTTCCTGGTGGTGCGAGCTCCATTATCTTCGGCGGAGACACGCCCCCCAGCCCGCCGAAACGTCGACCGTCCGATCGGAAGATCATCGATTTGATGGGTCGCGGGACGATGGAGCCGACGGACGCGGGGAAGCAACAGCTTAGCGCGGCAAAGCGTCGCGAGCTGCAGGGAGAGGATATCTTCGCGGACGGAAAGCTCAACATCCGCAGCTGCATCGGCATCCACCAACCGCCTGGTGGTGGGAGCTCGCTGTCGCTGGTGTGAGGGTGGCTGGAAACAAAAGAGTTCTCAATCAGGCTTTGTTACGACCGCTATACATAGTTGCTTCGGGTCTGTGAACTTTGCTGGCGCTAAGCTCATCTCTTCTATTGAAAGTATCTTTCGTTTCTTTCTTATGAATGTTTTTATGTTTGGTTTGACCTTGGGTGAATCATAGTTACATCTAGCACCATAAACGCTGTCTATTCATAGCGTTGATATTCCTGTATGTGGCGCGCACAAACAATTTTCCGCACGCGCATACAACGCGATGCTTACAGAGATGCTCCCAGCGCTAGCTCTTCTTACCACTGAAAAGAGTTCATGCGTGACGACGGACATATTCAACGGGTCACGGAATGCTCTAGTCAGCAACCTTAATCCAAAGCGGTTTTACGAGTCGCTGTACGTGAACCGCGCCGGTCGAAGCTTACGTATCCATACAAACGTGAAACGCCCCTTTGATTAGTGCAGGCGCCATGACGCGAGGTGTCGTGTTCACATATCCACGCCAAAGGCATTAATTCGCCAGTTCATCACATGGCCTTCCCGTCAACAGACGTGGCTTATCGCTTAGGGGCTACTGTGGTACAACGGGTCAAGGGACTTGCAGAGGGCTCGGATAAAAAATAGGCACGTGATGGCTGTTATTTCTCCAACGTGATAATAATTCAGGGTTCAGATTAAAACCCGCGTCCCAAATTGCGGGCCGCGAGGGTCAAGTTTTTAAATCTTGACGAAGTTGAGTGTCCAAGCTTTTGAAAGTCGCGCACTTGCAATTTGGGACTTTCGAAGACAGATTCACTCACCAGGGGGAAAACCGAGGGTTGGCTGGGTCTCGCGAAAAAAACGAACCTAGACGAAATCGGAAACTCTCGCCAAAGCCCACACCAGAAAAACTCCCTCTGGTCAACTTTTAAAAGCATGAACAATTTGGGCCGCCTAGAATCTGTCGTCAGAAATTTCATTGCCTCTTATCATGGTCTTCTCTGCTCAAAGGGAAACCTTTGCTCACGTTATTCTTGGCAAGAATGAACAATTTAGCAAGCCACACGTGTTTGGGTATAGTCTAGGATTATTTGTAAGGTTATAATAATCTGAAGGACAACGTAACAAACTTATATGATTGACATTTACAGCTTAGCAAGCAGGGCAGAGACCTTGGACTTGGTGGCATCGAAGAACTTCTGAGCGGCCTCCTGGTCCTTCACGCGGGCAGCATAGTCCAACTGCAAGACGAGAAAGTGCAAAATAACAGTTTTAAAATGGTAGAAATGGTACGCAGACCGATTTCAGGTATGGAGACGAAAAAACAGCAGCCAAAGAGAGACAAGTTGGACCGTCGACTTACCGACTCCAGAGTGGTGACCAGCTCCTTGAGCTCGGCGTTAAGAGCCTTCTTCTCAGCCTTGGCCTTGGAGGCAATGACGGTGGCAAGATCGTATCTCAAGTAGCCGAGCTCGGAGCGCAGCTCGTTGCGGACATAGGGCCAGGCCTTCTTGGAGATGTAGCCCTGAACCTCGGGGAAGACGCCGATGACCTCCTTAGCGCGGGCGAGAGCCTCATCGGGGGTCTTGATCTGGATGTAGAACCGCTCGCTCAGGGGGGCCTCGAAGTCACGGGCCTGGTCAGAGTTCTCAGTGCCGGCTGCAAGTAAAACAGGGAAGGGATACACAGGACGACGTTCAGGCGAGGCAGTAAAAACGAACTGAAGAGCGGTACATCGGCAAGACCCGCATGCTATCAAGGTAGTATTAGAGTCGGATGAATACTGCTGAGCATCGGATAAACTTACGAAGGCCACCAGCCAGAGGAGGGGGGCCCTCGATCTTCACGCCGGTGACGGCCTGAGCGCTGCCGGAAAGGGAGACGGCAACGGTGGTGGCAATGAGGGCAAGAGCCGAGCGCCTGCTCTGCTTCTCCTCAGCCGAGGCACTGACGGCGAGCGAAGCCTTCTCAGCGCGGGCGAAGGACGCGGTGTTGTTGAACACGCGGGAAGCCTTCTGGGCCGGGTTGCCGAGCTCCACGGGAGCAGCCAAGTTCATGGCAGCGACGGAGGTGGTGGCAGCCATGGCGGATAGTTTGGTTGCTGGTGGAATTCGGCAAACAGGGAAGTGTGCCTGTTGGTGTGGGAGCGTCGGCAAATTGGCTTACTCCTCGAGATTCCTTGGTAACGTAAATCCTTTGGATGACTATCCACGCTGTCAGGCTGCCTCCAAGCAGGAGAAGGTGGGGAGAGCAGGGGAGGATTTCGCGCAGTCCACGTGGCACTTCGCTTATCCCCAAGAGATCGAGTGAGGGTTTATTGTCAAATCGCGACATCAGATTGGACGCATCACTCGCGAAAAGCACGAATTCTGGGCTTCCGATCGTTGCGTTGTCGAAAATCTAGAAGATAGTTGGTAACACTAAAATTGTAGTTACTAGGCATTAACAAAAAGAAACATATCAATGATAGTTGTAAACGAATTTATGAATAACAAAGCATGTGACTACGTCAGATGAAATGCATGCACAATCTGAAAACCAAGGTTTAGAACAGCCGGCGTCTGGGCTGGAGGAGTCCCAAGTTAATTTATTAAATTGGATAGAGTTTTTGAAGATTTGTTTTCTACAGTGTACCGTACTGACTTGGAATGATAGGTTTTATAATTGTGCCGACTCGAAATCAGCATTGAAATAGGTTTGAACCTGAAGTGGGTTTGAACCACAGTTTTCCCGTGATTGGCGTCGTCATGACCAGCAACCTTGGATTGGCAACTACCGTATTGTCAGAACTTATAGCTTACTTATTTGTGTAGGCTATAGTGGGGTATCCCATAGGGGGTACAACCCAATTAGGGTTTGCTATTTGTACTCACTTCGTTCATAGTCATTTCATTCACGTTCCTTTTCTAACATGGAATCAGAGCAGGTCCCATCCTAGGGACTGTTCTTTAGGGCCCACCGAAGCGCGCCCGAGGCGCGCGCCTTTTTTTTAGCGACCATCCGAGTCGCCCTTTTCCGAGTCGCGGCCCCGCCGCCTCCTCCTCGCGGCCCCGCCACTTCTTCGTCGCGGCCCCGCCGCCCCACCTGCGGCCGTTCGCCGCCCTACCTGCGGCCTGCCCGCCGCCCTACTTCTCGGCCCGACCGCCGCCCTACTCGCGGCCCAGCCGCCGCCCTACTTGCGGCCCCAAACGCCGCCCTACCTTCGCGGCCCACCCGCCGCCCTTGCTAGCGGCCCCGCCGCCCCGTCGCGGCCCCGCCACTCCGTAGCGGCCCCGCCGCCTCGTCGCGGCCCCGCCACCCAGTCGCGGCCCCGCTACCCCTTCGCGCGGCCCCGCCACTCCGTCGCGGCCCCGCCACCCCTTCGAACGGCCCCGCCACTCCGTCGCGGCCCACCCGCCGCCCTACCTGCGGCCCTTCGCCGCCCTACCTGCGGCCCATCAGCCGCCCTACCTGCGGCCCTACTGCCGCCCTACCTGTGGCCCTTCGCCGCCCTACCTGCGGCCCACCAGCCGCCCTACCTGCGGCCCTATCGCTGCCGTGCCTGCGGCCACCCGCCGCCCTACCTTCGCGGCCCACCCGCCGCCCTACCTTCGCGGCCCACCCGCCGCCCTACCTTCGCGGCCCACCCGCCGCCCTACCTTCGCGGCCCAGCCGCCCTACCTACGCGGCCCAGCACCGGCCGAGCCACCCAGCAGCAACCGAGCCGCCCGCGAGCAGCCGAGCCGCCCAGGAGCCGCCGAGCCGCCCAGCAGCAGCCGAGCCGCCAGCAGCAGCCGAGCCGCCCAAGAGCTGCCGCGCCGCCCAGCAGCAGCCGAGCCGCCGAGCAGCAGCCGAGCCGCCCGGGAGCAGCCGAGCCGCCCAGCAGCAGCCGAGCCGCCCGGGAGCAGCCGAGCCGCCCAGGAGCAGCCGAGCCGCCCAGGAGCCGCCGAGCCGCCCTGCTACCGCACCGCCCGACCTGTCCTGTCTGGTGAGCACGGCCCCGCCCCACTGCTACTGCGTGCCCTTCCCCACTGCTTGCACTGCTAGTCTGTCGTCATGGCTACCCCCAATGTCCTCACTTTTGACGCTGAGGGTCGAGCCATTGACTTTGAGGTCTGGGTCGACGACCTGCAGCTCTTCTTACAGTGCGATATGGCTGACGGCCTTTCCTTCTTTGACCTTACCTCTGGCGCCTCTCCTGCCCCTGCTGCTGATGCTGACCCCACTGTTCGCTCTCAGTGGGCCACCCGTGATGCTGCTGCACGTCTTGCTGTGCGTCGCCACTTGCCCACCGCTGAGCGCGCGCACTTTAGTCAGTACAAGAGTGCTCAGACCTTGTACGACGCTGTAGTTGCGCGCTACTCTTCCCCTGCCACTGCTGCACTGAGCCGTCTCATGCTACCGTACCTCTTTCCTGATCTCACGGCCTTTCCCATTGTCGCTGACCTCATTACGCACCTCCGCACTAGTGACACTCGCTACCGCGCCGCCCTTCCTGCTGAGTTCTGCGCCAAGAACCCCCCCCCCCCCATGTACATCGCTCTCTATTACATAGTCACTCGTCTCCTTGACTCCCTTCGCGTAGTTAGGGACCACTTTCTCTCAGTCTGTCCCACCACCCTCACTGTCGACCTCCTCGAGAAGGCCCTCCTAGCGGCGGAGAAGAGTATAGTCGCTGTAGGAGCCTCTCGTGGAGACCCGCGCACCCCCATCTTTGAGGGGTGTTCTCCTTCCCCCCTGCTGCCCTCTATTGCCTCTGCTGCTGCTGCCGACCTGCTCGGTCTTGAGTCGGTCGGCGCGGCGTCTGCCCCTAGCGAGAGACGCCGTGCCAAGGGCAAGGGGGGCAAGGGCTCGGGTGGAGCTGGCGGGGGCGGTGGAGGTGGCGGTGGAGGCGGCGGAGGGAGTGGGGGTGGCGATGGGAGTGGTGGCGGGGGTGGTGGCGGTGGTGGCCGCAGCGGCAGCGGAGGCGGTGGTGGCGGAGGCGGTGGCGGCGGAGGCGGTGGGAGCGGAGGCGGTGGTGGTGGCGGAGGTGGAGGAGGTGGTGGCGGGGGAGGTGGAGCTGGTCGGGGCAGTGCCACGCAGCGGAGCGGCTCTGGTGGTGGTCCGCGGCAGCAGCAGCAGCAGCAGCAGCGTTCTCGGGACATTCCGCCGCCTCAGCAGCTCCGTGAGTGGTACGCGCAGAGTCAGCGTGGTGGGGGTTTTGGCCCGTGCACCTATGTATGCTGTGTCTATTAGTGATGAGGGTGACTGTTACCGATGTTTCCCTCCCGACCCGGGCATTGGTACGGCTGCGCTAGGTGCCTGTGACACTGCTGCGCTCTCAGGTGCTGGTGAGGCTGCGCTCTCAGGTACCAGTGAGGCTGTGCTCTCAGGTACTGGTGCAGCTGCGCTCTCAGGTGCTGGTGAGGCTGCGCTCTCAGGTACTAGTGAGGCTGCGCTCTCAGGTACTGGTGAGGCTGCGCTCTCAGGTACCACGTCGGCTTCGGCCTCCCTCACCTTTACACTTGACTCTGGGGCTTCTCGCTCCTTCTTTCGGGACCGCACCACACTCACGCCGCTTGGCCGGCTGGTTGCGGTCTCCCTGGCTGACCCCTCTGGGGGTCCTGTCCTCTCTCACTTCTCCACTGTTCTACCGTGTCCAGCTGCCCCCTCGGGCGCCCTGTCAGGCCTGTACCTCCCCTCGTTCTCGACGAACTTGGTGAGTGGTGCTGCCCTACAGGATGCGGGGGTTCACAAGTTTACTCCTGCGAGTCAGCGGGTGACCCACTGCACGGACGCGCGCACAGGTCGGCACCTGGCCACGTTCTCCCGTCGGCCGGGGTCGAGCCTTTACACCCTGACCACTGAGTCTCCTCCTGTCCCTGCGTCTGGCCGGGTAGCTGCGTCGGGTCAGGTGTTTGCTGCTGCGTCCAGGTCTGGTCCAGAGTCTGCCCCCTGCTCGTGTCGCCTCCTGTCTCACGAGACTCTCCTGTGGCACCACCGTCTTGGCCACCTCTTCTTGTCTCGTCTCAGGGACATGGCTGCCCGTGTCCTTGTCTCTGGTCTTCCCCGGTCTCTCCCTCCCCTTCCTTCGGGACCAGGACCTTCCTGTGTCCCTTGTGTCGAGGGGCGCCTCCGGGCTGCCCCCCACTCCTCCCAGTTTCCTCCAACAGAGGCTCCACTGCAGACGCTTCACATGGACGTGTGGGGCCCGGCCCGCGTCCGTGGACAGGGTCACGAGCGCTACTTTCTGCTGGTGGTTGACAACTACTCGCGTTTCACCACAGTCTTCCCCTTGCGCAGCAAGGGTGATGTCACTGAGGTGTTGATCGACTGGATCCGCGCAGCTCGTCTCCAGCTCAGGAGGAGCTTCGGCTCGGACTTTCCTGTTCTGCGTCTGCACTCTGACCGAGGCGGAGAGTTTTCCTCTGGCCTTCTGCGAGCCTACTGTCGTGCACAGGGCATCCGCCAGACCTTTACGCTCCCGGACTCTCCACAGCATAATGGGATTGCTGAGCGCCGCATTGGCATGGTCATGGACGTCGCCCGTACGTCCATGATGCATGCGGCTGCCCCCCATTTTCTGTGGCCGTTTGCGGTGAGGTACGCGGCGCATCAGATCAACCTTCACCCCGGGGTTTCCCGGCCGGGGAAGGTCCGCACCTCCCCGGCCCTCCTGTGGACTGGGAAGGTCGGCGATGCGTCTGCGTTCCGTGTCTGGGGATCTCGGGCGTTTGTCCGCGACTTGTCTGCGGACAAGCTGTCCCCCCGTGCTTCTCCCTGTGTCTTCCTTGGCTTCCCCCCTGACGCTCCAGGGTGGCAGTTCTACCACCCCTCCTCTCGTCGTGTTCTGTCCTCCCAGGACGTCACGTTTGACGAGTCGGTCCCTTTCTACCGCCTCTTCCCCTACCGCACTCCTTCCCTCCCCCCGCCACCCGACTTCCTTGTGCCAGGTCCCCCCCCGGTAGACCCCCCCCCCCCCCCTCAGGTTCCTGCCCCTTCAGGTGTGTCCCAGGAAGACGCCGTCGAGCCGGTCGAGGTTGATGGTGACTCTGGTCCTGCTGAGGGTGCTGAGCCTGGGGGTGCTGAGTCTGGGGGTGTTGTGCGCGTGGGTGCTGAGCCTCGG